TGACTTACCACATCGGGAAGGCTCAATCTTTTGGTGGCATTATCGACTTCCGGTTTTGACCGGAAGTGGATTAAACTGACCGGAAGTCAATTTTTTTTAAATCAGACATACATCATTCGGCCTCTGCGGATAATGTACAAAGTTTTTGTTGGCAACCTTTTTCTGGAATAGACTCCCGGTTAAAAGAATGCGCTTCCGGTCTGTTTAACCCACTTCCGATCGAAAACGGTCGGAAACGGAAGTCGGAAATACGATCAAAAGAGAAAGCATCACCGACTTGGTGGTTCATATTTTTTGTTTTTCAATAAACATATAAAGCCAACGCGAAAAAAAATTGGTAAATTCTGCTACAAAAGTGACGATTCTAACATGGCCACGTTTCGGGTAACTTTTATAACTTCCATGGGCCCATGGTCATTAGTCTTTTCATGACTAATTAGTCATTTTTGCAGTCTGAGGTGAATAATAAAATATTAAAGCAATCTTTGTGTACACTTCTTCATAGAATAATATAATACTTATTTGTTTAGAAGATAAGTGAGCACACAAAAAGCTTAATCAAACCTCCAGTAGTATATAAAGTAGTTAGAAAATGTCAATGAATTCCAGAAATTTCCAATGAAATAAATGTGTATTTATTATAGGTACATAAATAAAAATATAACAAAGTGCATGAGGACATGTTTCCAAAAGAAATTACCAATGATCCTTGAGACTTATTTATACGTCTCCGTTAACTTTTAGCAACAGCAATTTTTCGAAATTGTTGTCAGAAAGCGTTCCACGGTGTGGGTTATTCAGTAATGAAGCAAACGAAAAAAACCTTTCTACTGCGGCCGAAGATGGCAAGGGTGTGTTATATTTAAGGTACGATTGAAGAATGGATTCCAATGGCTGAAATCAAATGACTAACAAGAAATTAATAAAAAAATGATTCATGAATCGCAAATCGAAAAACAGAACAAAGACTTATTATTCTTTAGTCTTAGTGAAGACTAACAAAAAATGATTGCAATCACTAGGGAATTCAATTAAATGAATAATTTAGTTAAAAATGACTGCATTCTTTAAAACCTCTGGTTGTAATTCGATGAAATCCATCATATAAAACAAAAATACATTTTGATTTTCTTATTAGTTACGACTTTTTGCATTTCAGGTGACGATATGTATACTCCGAATAAATTATAATATCGTTCGAACAGCACTTTGAAGATATACTTGCCATTCACGGCAATTTTCAATCTTTGAAGGATTGTGACAGAATTCGCATAATACTTCATGACCACAGGGAATAAATAAAATTTCGCAAGGATTTATTTACAGTTTATACAGATTGTGAGGTTTCCAGCATTTGGAAGTCCTTGAGGCTCGTCAGAAGCGTTTGCGTTCGAGTTTTCCTTAGAAAACTCGATCAAGTCATCATCCTATTCGTCCTAAATTTCGATGTCCAATTAGCATCCTTCATCGTTTTCTAATGAAGTTTTCTCGAGTACCTTTTCTAAACCCACTTTCGATAAAAATTTTTCGATATTTATTCGGTCCTCTAACAGTAACTTGGAGGCCTTAACGATGTCAAAACACCGCCGAAGAGTTTTTTTTTTTATTTTCTGGACCTTCGGCTGATAACCATCATTCATAACTTGCAAAAGTTGGGTAGAAATAGCATCCTCTTCAAAAAAATTTGCGTTAATAGGAAGTGCGAATTTTTAAACTAAAAATCGGCAGTTCATCCATCATTTTCCAAAAATAAAGCACACAATTAAAAAAAACCTGATAAGTCAAAAGAGTTCCGCTCACCGGTTTTAGTCAAGAGCTTCGAAAATATTCGAAAATTGGCTGCAAATTTATCAGTTTCGCTACCAAAATCATATAGCAATCCATTATTTTATCCCGTGGAAGAAGATAATCTCATATAAAGATCTTCTTGGATTTCGGAACATTGACCTTTTTTTCAAAAGTTTTAAGGGAAAACAGAAACTTAACTGAAAATTTTCTAAAATGCTGCAGAAATTGCGCAGTAAAAATTTTTTGTGTTGCTTTTGATTTGCCAATGATGAGTAACTGATTGTCAAAATTAATTTCCTCGAACGCTTGCTGTAGGCAGAGTCGCCCAAATTTTCGCGTAGAACGTGATACTCTTTCATAAAAAGCCTTTATTATGGAACTTATGTCTGACATAACTACCATGAATCAGATCTGTGGAAGTAATGTCAGTCTTTACTTCCAATGATCAAAAATCGGTTGATGGTAGTAATTTCAAGACAAATTCCATGGAACTTGTGTGACGGTTTGGTGGAAGCTATGTCGAAACCCCCACGTTTCGTGCTTTCAGAGAACCTGGAAGTTACACAATCAATTTTCCTCATTCAATTCTCATTACACTTACACTTTTTCCCTAACACACTCATATGTATTTTAGTATTTGATTAGGCAACTGGCTTTAAATTTTCTTTACTTTCAATTTTGATCAGCTGTTCAGCATTGACAAGCGAATTTCGTTTGAAACAAAATATGTATTAGGTGCAATCCCGTATTCCTCGGACTCGGACTAGTAAAACTGTCAAAAAATAAAAATTCGCTCAGAGCGAGAGAATAACATTGAAAAGTACGGGATCGCTTTCTAGTAAAAAATGGTAACTTCTGTCAACTTCAACATAACCTCCAAATTTTGGTTGTAAATTTTTGCTTATTTTGTATGTAAACACACTCAGCTCACACATGTAAATAACCAAAAATACTTTCAAATTCATTAGAATCCACTTAAACAAGTAATTAAATAATTTTCATCATGAATTAGCAGAGTGCACTTTTCTTTTGTTTACAATTTGGTTGCCACACACACTACAGCTGATCGTTTGACACATTTACCAGAATTTAGCAGCGAAAAATTCTGGGACTAAAACCGGTAACTTCTGACAGAGAGAGAATCGTATTTACTCTCTTTTTGTCCTCTCAATAGCCAGAGAACCGAGTACGGGATCGATTTCCAGTAAAATCTGACTGATTCTGACTAGTCCGGACTCGTACGAGATCGCAGCTATTACCGAAATTCTGTACGATAAAAAATTAATTTACAATGGTCTTCGGAAACTTAGTTGTTTTCTTGCAGACAGCTTCTTGATAATGAATGTATTTTGAAGATTTTGGAAAGACAATAAGTGTAAGTGTGTTGATTGTGCAACTTCCCCAAAGTTTCCTAAAGAATCAGCTACAGTGACAGTCTTTGGCCGGATATAGACCTGGGTTGACCCGACTGTTTTGGGAACGTTATATTTTTCGGTACTTACGTTTGCTTCTTCTCCAGGTTTTGCAAGTTACCCTTGAGACTGTTGTAGGCCGTTGACTTAGTTTTCAGATCAGCATCAATTTGCCCAATTTGTTTCGAAATAATATCGGCAATATTGCGTAACGACTGCTTAATCGGGTACTTGGCCATATCCCATTGAAAGCGGGTAATATACACGGAAAGATCGGCTGTGTGGTGAATGTGATGATGAAATCGGCGATGATAATGTGATAACGATGAAGAGAATATGACGAAAAATTGAAAATGTGAAAAACGAAAATGCAATTAGTTATTTTAATTAAGGTTAGGGAAAATATTTTATTTTATAAAAAATACATAAATATACAGTTTGATATTTGAAAAGGTAATAAATAAAAGAAATAAGTATTGTAGAGAAAGAGATTAACGACAAACGCTCGATAGACTTTTGTCTTTTTTGAGTTTGACAAAGTCTAGCAAGCGTGTGCCGTTAGAGCGTAGATACTAGCAAGGAACTTAAAATATCAAGGGTCGTTTTCGCAAGCAGCTTTTAAAATTTATCTGCACTTAAACACAAATTTTATTCTCACAATGTATTTGAAGGGCGGATACATTTTAAATCTACTTGAGAGAACGGCCGTTCATTCTGAAGTATTTAAAGGTAATATTTTTTTTTTATTAATTTTAGACCTGGCTATCGTTTCTGTAACAATTCTCTACCAAGGCGAATTGAGATATGAATTCGCCGCCCTGTTCTCTACTGCTAATTAGTAGGTGAGAGTGACGTATTTTCTCTACCAGTAGAGAAATAATTGGTAGAGAAAAGTTACAGAAACGGGCTACAGATTTGCCTCCAGCAAAAATCTACGCTCATATTTGTTTTGAAGAAATCAAGCACTCATAAAAAGGTGTGAGAAAAGGTTCAAAAGCAATTTTACTCAAATAAAGTAGGTTTATAACAACACATTTCAGTTATACACACATAAGTGATGGATTTATTTTATTATTTATTAACTTAGTATACATATGTTATTTTTAGTACTTTAGTAGGTATTCAAAATGTGAATAGAAATTTGGAATTTTGACAATATACTTTGTTAGTCACAGCAACAAACACACGACCATTTTGGGGACAAGTGGTTAGGTTTTAGAGAGGGCAAAACATAAAGGGAAAACGGAAACCAGCAGCGAATAACATTGTTACATCGAACAAAATGGGTTAAATAAGATTGGACAATTAGCAAAATTCAAGCAATGAAACTGAAATACAATAAACAAGCGCATCTTAAAATAATAATACAGTAATTCTCAGGCTAACAAACGAACGTGGTGTTGTGATATACAATACAAACAAATTTGCTAAAAATTACTGTAGACTATGTAAATAGGTAAGAAAATCTTAAAGCAAAAAGTAACATTTTTTTTTTTTAAATAAGTATGACTATAAAGGCATATAAAATAAAATATTAAATTATGAACAAATGTATCATGACTGATTTTTTCAGAAAACTATAACATAGCACGAAGAAAATAATATATTTATGTTTGTATATCATTATTTCCAAAACAAAAAATAGATAAATAAATAAGTAACCAATATTAAAAAAAAAATAAATCTTAATAATGTATTCACAATGGCATAAATGTTATCTACATATATTTTGTAAGATTTGGTATTTTAAAGTCTTCGAAACACATTGTTTACTTGCATAAATTTGGTGTAAAACAGCAGCAACAAAATATACACGACGACGGTTGATGTGGCTTTGAAAACAAATTTTAAATACATACATATACCATTTATATTTATATTTTCATAATTTATAATTTTCGACTGTTTTTTTGTTTTTTTGTTCGCTTGTGATAAGCGCAGATGAGCGGTGAGTGGCGGTGAAGAGCTGTGGAGCACAACACATGGACACACTGGTGGACATTGACATTAATTACAGCTAGGAGTTGATATTGTACACAAACATATGTATGTAGTGATGTGGTATACACTCAAGGAAAATCAGCGCTTTACACTGTGCGGCGTGAAAATATAGATCAAAGGAAACAAAACGCTCAAATTAAAGTTTAAAGGGAAATTTCAAATAAAAATTGCAGAATTTTCGGAACTGCAGATAGCTAAAAAAAAAAAAAAAAAAAAATATTTACTTATCGTCATTATCAATGCAAAAGTCAAACGGTGACATTTTATTTTAATTATTTTTTTCCAATAGCCGTCATCGATTCGCCACTTCTCGCTCGCTATGTTTGAGTTCCGGTCGCTTAAAGAAGAATTTTGCATGTGAAAGTAACAACAAAGTTAGCTAGCACTGATAGACGATAGCGAGTTTGGTTGTACTTCATTGAGTTCGTTCGTTTCGCCACTCGCTAACTGTTGGCGAATCGATGACGGCTAATATTTCATTTATATAACCTCAAAATTCAAAAGCGTCTTATAAAAGCTTTGAGATTTATTGGCATAATATGCATAGTCTTTAAATGCTGACTTACACATTTTTTGCTTCTTCTTTAAAATTTCAAGTTTGTCATTTTGGCATACTTGCATTGACGACGACGATATGCGTGTAGACGTAGAAAAAGTAAGGGAAGGAAATGATAGAAAATGGGACAGAGATAATGGATTTATTACATATTTCTGCATCTAAAAAGGACAATGTTGTTGGAGTAGAGGTTTGGTGTGTGTTTGGAAAGTTGTTGGGTTTTCTTTACAAGATTATCTTCTTTGTTTGGCTTGTGTTTGTATTGGGACATTTTTGTCTCTGCCTGTCTTTGTATGTATATGTGGTAACTGAAGGGTTAAGAAGTTAATTACAGGTACAACATTTTTTTTCGCTATTACATTGCTGTACATTTTTTATGTTTATATAAATGATCTAAAGTGTGTTTCAAATAGTGACTCATAAAGTAGTTCAAAAAAAATTTAGTTGATATTCCTGTAAAATAAAACTATCTACTAATCCATTTCAAATTAATGTTGCAAATTTTTATTTAAAACAAATCTAGAAGTTATGTGTACATATTTTCGTATATCTTTTTGAGGTGCCTCTATACTAAGCTTTTTTAATAAAAGCATAGACAGACGACAGCGTTGACCCGTATTAAGTTTTAGAGTTAATTCTCAAATTTAATGCGAATCAGGGGCATATACGATGACAACAATTACCAAAACCCAGAGAATACATAGACCATGCAAAAGTAACCCGGATCTCTACTTGTTTTTGGTAATGCAGTTACCATACTAATTCAGATAGGAATCCAATTGAAATCAAATAAGAACTTATTTGACCGACGCGACGTTAAGGTAGATTTATTGGAATGAATCCAAAGTGGCATATTAAATATGATAAAATATGACTTCCACTTCGATAAGAATATCGATTAAACTAGTGCAGACACCGATTGGAATGAGTGGAGCTTGAGTTTTCAAATAGTTTTCAGCGAAAACTGATTTTCCCTTGACATATTTTACATAGACAAAAACACCATTTGTCAGAACTCTCAACTAAAACTCAATAGGGCCGAGGTTCGATCTGCACTCCGAGCAATTCTTAAAAATCATTTTTTTTTTTAATTTTAATTTTTTTAATTACTACATACATATCGTCGTTTAAAGTACAAAACCGCGTTTCAATAAAATGCAAAACCGCATATGTGAGGTTGCGTAAATTATTTTCTAGATAGTAAAAACACTTCAAAATGGTCTCCTTTTTATAAAGCAATCGCATTTGTGGCTAGTATATTTCAGGGCGAATGGACAAGGATTGAGCCAAGTGCTTGTATGAGCAAATCCAACGCGCGATTTTGTACATTAAACTACGATATTTATCTATTTTTTTTTTACTTAATTTTTGTATGTTATTTCACACAACTGTTTTAGTTAATTGAAATTTAAAGTATAATTTTATTAAAAAAGACAACAGCAAATAAAATTATATTAAAAGTATTTGATGGATCTAAAAAGATTAAACAGGAACTCGCTTAATCCGCAATACTGCAGTCTGTCAGGGTACACTTTTGATCAGATCAACTGCGCCGTTAATCCGGATCAACATTGCCATCCTGTCTATGCTATAATAATCGACTAATCGTTTAATAGCTAGCAAAAGTTGCTTAAAAAATAATAGTCGAACTATACTAATAGACTAAAGAGCGGAATCCTACAAACTTGCCTCAATGCCGTCCAATCGAGGACTTTTTTTTTTGGAAATTTGAGTTCGCTGGCACACAAGAACAACTGGTGAGCTAAAAATTGTTTCTATCTGACTATTTGAATGGTCAATTTTAATAAAAGCCCTACATTACACCTCTTTAACTAGTGCTTAAATTTGAATATTTATTTATACAGGCATGTATAAGGTATAAGTGTGAATAATAAATCATCGAGAAAAGAATTAAAATTATATTCGAAACGGTTTATTAAGAAAGGGAATAAGTCAGCATTTTTCCGATATGGAAAATTTAATGCAGTTCAACAGAGGTCCCTTAAATCAAACGAACTGCAACAAAATTTGCATATCGAGAAAATGCCGACTTATTCCCTTTGGTAATTAACTGATTCATTTATACTCAAACTAACAACTACATTGTGCTCTACAAAATCCCCAAAAAAATTTGGAGTCATAAATGAGTCATTAGAGTCCTAATTCGGGGGCTTTACTCTCACAATGAGCACATTTAAGCAGAGACATAACTATTACAAGGGGAAAGAATAAAAGTCAATCAATAATCATTATATTAAGAGAAATATTTTTCGAGTCATCTTTAATTATTATTCGAGGACTTATATTATTAAAGTCCTTTCATAATAATTATGAGAGATATAAATATTTTTAAGTCTTCAAAGACTTTTATTTTAAGTCTTATATTATAAAAGTTTTTTCATAATAATTATCATTGAGATACATATTTTTAAGTCTTCAAAGACTTTTATTTTAAGACTTATATTATAAAGTCTTTTCATAATAATTATAAGTGCGAAAAAAATTTTCAAGTCTTAAAAGACGGGACTTGTTCTGGAGCATTTCAGGATAGTTGGGGCCCAATTCGGGGCTAGGTGGGGAACAGTTTGGGACCAGTTGAGGCTTGGCTTTGGACCCGTTCCGGACTATATACAATTTCTTTTCGCACTCATAATTATTATCAATAGACTTTTATAATATAAGTCTCAAAATAAAAGTCTTTGAAGACTTGAAAATATTTATCTCAACGATAATTATTATGACAAGACTTTTATAATATATGTCTTAAAATAGAAGTCTTTGAAGACTTAAAAATATTTATCTCGCTGATAATTATTATGAAAAGACTTCTATTATATATTACTATATCGATGACTTAAAAAAATTTTCTCACAAATAATTATTATCAAAAGACTTTTATAATTCTTACCAAAATTTGGATGACTTTTTTAAAACTCCACCATGAAATAATTATTATTCTGGGTCTCTGCATTTAAGAGTCCGAAATGAGGCTGTAATTTTGGAATCTACATTCCAATATGCATTTAATAGCAGCAGTTGCAACTAAAGTTTGTTTATTTTTTGTTTCTTAATTATTTTCCATATCTGTATAAACAAGTTTAGATATAAATTTCGAATCTTTATTGTTTTTGTTTTGGCACAAAGTGCTGGCTTATAACTTTTATCATATCTAACTCCTAAAAGATTCATACATATAAAAGGCACTAATTTTTTGTTTTTGAAACTCATATTTCTTACCCACCTAAATAAGACTCCTTTCGGACTCATACATATATTCTGAACGCTCAGAATATGTTTGCGGGTTCAAAATATTGGTTTATATAAATAATACCATTTTATATATATTTTACATGTACATTGACGTGTTATCGAGTACCGTTATTTTGGTATAAAATTTCGAATCGAGTTTCATTCGATAACGACTGCCGTGATATCTTTAACCGTTTCATTGTGCTTGTGGATACTTCTGAACCGGTTTCTTGGTTATGCTATTCTCAGTACGGTTTATAGTTTTCTTTTGACAAAAAAGAACATTCGGAAATTAGATTTTCGAAAAAGAACCTTCAACAAACGATCTACTTTATGAGTCACTATGTTTATGTACATATGTATTTATATCGAACGCACACATTGTGATTGCGATTTTCGGGTATATTGTGGATATGTATGTACTGACAAGTTTGGTATTATAAAAATATATTTTACACATTTTTTTAGCAGTGAAGAAAACGTGTGCGACAAAGAGAATATGTGGGAGATAAAAAATTCGACACAAAAGTGTGTTTACTCATTAAATTATATTTAGATTTGTAACAGCATAGTACTTAGAGTAAATACAAGTACAATATAAATATAGAAAACGAAGAAAGGTGATTAAAAAAATATATATATATCCAAGAAAATTAAGGAAACTAAAAGAAAAGAAATATGTTTGTATTTTGAGGAAAATTATAATTCATAGTTGACTTAATAACAAATGCAATAAAAATTTTAAACCAGGCATGCTAACCTGGACTTAATGGGAATGCCGGTGGTTCGCCCAAATCTGTATCCGGACTGGAACGACCTTGACTACTACTGCCACAACAACTACTCACTGGGGACGATCTATGAGTTGGTGTGAAATTAAATCCATTGTTTATATTTAATTGAAACGTTGATGAGCGAGTGCTATAAAAAAATGAGCATCGAGAGAGAGAGAGAGACACAGAGAGAGAGAGAAAGAGAGATAACGAGGCGCGCGTGTGCGTGATTGGATTGATTTTGGTTAGGTTGATTGGCAATTATTAATTGATTGATTTCTGTTAGTTGCTTAGTTAGTAGTTAGATGGTGGTGCATCATTATTTATGTTCGATTGGACGTGTAGTATGTATGTATGTATGTATGTATGTACGAAGGTTTGTTCGGATAATTATATGCAATGTAGTTAAAAGATTAATGGATCGGTGAGTAGTCCGAAAAAAAAACGCGGATTGTTTTCTGAGTGTTGGAATGAGTGAATGCAAGTTGTGATTATCTTGTTGGTTTATTGGGTGGGCGTTAAATGTGTTTGTGCAGAGTGTTATTTGAGTTGTTAAAAGTCTTCAGAAATCAGGCTGCGTTGGGGCTGTGCATTTGAATGTAGAGTAAGTGCAGGTATTTGTGTGTAACTATGTAAATTTTTTCGGAACTATTACCGTTTATTCGTGGAAGTTTGCGTGCGTGCTGCATTTTTTTTACTAAACTTTTCAATTACGTAATTAATTTGTACAATTTCATTTATTTACTTTTATAATTTCTCTCGTGGATTTATAAGTATATATTTACATGTATATGCTAAAAAAATATAAACATTAAAACTGAATTATTTAATGTAGTGAAAATTGTTACAAATAAATATAAGAATCTCAGCCCAAACATAGACTAAATTTTCAAAAAAAAAAAAAATTATGCTAAAGAGAATGCTATGCATCGTTGTTGATTTCTGTTACTTGAAAATAGGCTAATGAATATGTGATTTAAATATTATACTATTTACCTACCGTATTAGCTTTTATTTTGTTTTAGTCAAATAAACTTTGTACATACATAGTTTGCGTGAACATTTTTAACATCGCAATTTGAAGTCAGTTTCCATGCACTGAAACTAAAGAAATTCGACAAACTAGTTTTTATTAACTTATTAAATAAAACGGGGGCTTCCCAAATTTACATTGGAAGTACCTACATTAAGCCGTATCACGGCATATGAAAGAAAAAAGTTTAGCGCGTGTCAGTTTTATTTAAACACTTATGTATGTCGAGAGAAAATTTTTGGTGTAAAAATTTTTTTAGGCACCCGCTAACAACCTCTAAATCGCGTCTTGTGCTATAACTTTCTTATTTTATATCCGATTTTTTAAATCTTTATGTTGCTGAAAAGGTCTCACTCAGTACTATAATTAGCCATTAAACAGTTTTGGCCTTCAATGCCGTTTTAATTTATACCTTCTCTAGTTTTGGAATTACTACCTAGACTTTTTTTAATTTTATAGTATAAATCTAATGTTTTAAAAAAACGACCGACGACCTTGCTAAAAGGGGTTAGGCTTTATTCGATTATAGTCCGGAATGAGACCTTTTCGATGATATAAAAGTTATAGCAAAACGCTATTTAGCAGTTTTAGCGGGTGCATAAAAATACAATTTTTACACCCAAAATTTTTTCTCGGCATAAGTATTCAAAAAAAAACTGACACACGCTAAACTTTTTTTCGTAATACGCTTTAATGTACATACCTCAGAACGTGCCACCACACAACCGAACAAAAAACAAAGGTCGCCCTAATTCCTTATATTTTTTAAGTAGTAGTACATAATCAAAATAATAGTAGTAGTAGTAGTAGTAGTAGTGTAATCAAAATAGTTCATTTTCCTTCCATTTTCCATTTTAATGATTTTCGGAAAGCTTCAATTTACTGACATTAGGATTGTAGGAACGTACTAAAACATGGTACTTGAGGTCAATTAACTTTGTAAATTGCTTCCTCAAGTCAAGAACATCGATACATCATATCTTAAGTTCCGACTGTACATGCCGAAGATATGATGGCTCGCCTAGTCTTAAGACTAGGGGGTTATACGGCATACCTTTTTTCCGGTACGGTACAATGTGCCTACTTAGTATGTCAAAGCTAGCTTTGGCCACTTAAAAAAAAAAATATATATATATATATATATATATATATCAATTTAAGAGCCGGTTTCTAGTTCGGCAGTCAAATGTGAAAAAGCTCTCCACTGTAAAGGGGCCATACCTCATTGTTGTTTTGCCAAAACTGAAAAAGAAAAACAAGACTTACAACCGGAGCAGAACATAATATTATTTTTTGGTTGATAGAACAATCTTTATTTGAAAGCTCTTTTTTTAGTAAAAAATTAGCAAACAACTGTTACCTACATTTATTTTCAACTAATCTAATTTGGATTTTAATTATGTAATAGTATTTAATCCATATTTTAAGATTTTTAAATTTCGGAAATTGCCGTTTTCGATTTTTATTTGTATGAAATTCAATAAATTCTTTTCATTTTCATTTTCAAATGTCATAATAAACATGGAAATTTCATCATCATATTCTAAAATATTAATAACAACAACTGAAATTTATGAGTAATAGCGGATTTCACTGAGCTTTGAATGACAGCAATCATTAAAATAGTTATTAAGTTTATTTATAGGAGTGATCATTCCAATTCCTCATAGTAATTCATTAAAGCTAATATTTTTGGTTGCTAAAATAAGAACATAATATCGACGATCGTAAATTAAAATAAGAAACATAATCCAATAAGTATGTTAAAATAAGGTTATTAAGTCCTGTTTTTTATTTAAAACAAAAAAGGCAACGGCCCCGGCTTTCGCGAGAAGACGACAAACACATCTAAGAGAGCTGTGGCCAAAGGCTACGCATATTTACTCTCTGTCGCTCTTGAAAGTACTAGGATCCATTAGCACCTAGCTGAAGGGACGAGATTTTGTGCTGAGTTCTGAGTGCATGATAGACCAGAGGTCATTGAAGATGGTTCAGGGACTAATTGATATCCAATTATATCCGTAAGGGCTGAGTTGAGACTAATTCATCTCCAATAATACCTGTATGAGACTGGTTGCGACTAATTAATGCCTAACTGTACCTGATTGAGACTAATCTCGGAATACTCTCTTTAGGGATTAGTCGCACAATTTTTTGCAGGGTACATATGTATGTACGTACATACAAACAGCATATATGTATTAGGCGTGTTTTCTTTAACCTTCACAAGCTAATAGCTATAACAAATAAAGTAATTCAAGTATTCAAATGCAGTCGTTCTGTTAACGCTCATTTTTTTTGTAGTCACACGATTGGTAACATAGAGCCAACTTCTATTGAGAAATTTGTACTAATTGTTGGTCGTAGTTGGGATAAAGAAAAAATGTTTGTGCATTCACACGATTGGGCGTTTGCCCAAAATTTGGTGCAAATCGTATCCCACTGCCCTTTAGAGACTTAAAAATGCTTAGTTCGTATGCACTAATTATCGCATTGGCGTCTTTCGTGGTAAGCAGACATGCATACAATTTTGATATTTTTTGAAAATTTTTATTTTTAATTACATTGTCATATTTTTGTGAATACATATAAATTTTTGAGCGTTGTTGTGTCAAATTAAAGATTTTACCTCTTCCTGATTGTCTGAAGCTTTTTGTCACCGAATGGCAACGCTCTAGTGTTTGGCTTTTCATAAGCCAATATAATTACGTTGGCTAATTCTTCCATACAAATAGCTTACATTTCAGTCAAATAAAACACGCCTATTTTACCTATGTATATCGAACGCAAATTGCGATAGAAGAAGCTGTTTGGCGTTCGTTTACTCATTACAGAGTGCCTAAAATGCGAAAGGGGAAAAATGAATGCGAAAAGGGCAATTTTCAATGCGCTTGTCGCATTGCAGGGTGTCAATCTTCCGAATTTTCGCAATTTTGCTATCGCATCGCATTACAGAGTAGCCCGCCTGATAATTGTTTCAACCTTTCCTCAAGAAACAATGGAACGGGCATATATTTCTGTTGCAAACATGGGCTCTTTTTTCACAAAAAAAAACTTTAGAAAACCGTGGTAGAAAGAGCTATTATCATTATTCATCGATTGAACATTTATTTCTTTATTTTAGAACAATATTCCAAAATTTTATTTGTTGAGCTGTATAGGCACATACAGTATTCATTCTAAACATTCTGAGCTTAAAACTCGTAAAGAGAAAACATAAAAAATAGATACGAATTCATTAATTACACTAGTTTACACGAAAAAGGACTTCGCTCAAAAGTGTTTTTTAGACTTATTTAAGATCGCTTAACATGAAAATAAGTCTCATTTATTTTTCCAAAGAACGTTTTCGAGATATAGGCAACAACCTGCTTTCTGTATTTTGCAGTTACTTATTGCCAAAAACTCAAAAAAACCGTATACAACTTATTTTCTTTGGATACCTTTCGAAAGATATATATATTTAGCCTCATGGCGTTGATATATTTTTTGCGTCAATCGGAATAGTGCTTTTTGAGTTGCAGACGTTTAAATTCGAAAGATACGGATTTTCGAGCTTCTTCGAAAATTGTTTATTTTTATTCATTAATTTCAGTTGTAATTAAAAAAGTTAGGACGAAGGTCAATTTTATAACGAAAATGTGAAGTATAAGAACGCTTAAATCGGACAGAAAATGTGAAAATTTTGACAAATTTAATAAAAGCGACCAATTACAATTTTTGCTACTATCACTTTTTCAGTTGAAAATGGGTTTGTCTACACAAACAGCGGAAATGTTTAAATTTAATGTTTAAAACTAAGTTCAGATTTTTCGAGCCTCGACGGCTGTTGCAAATGGCAACACTGCTCGTGAGTGCCAGATGCATTAATACAAGTCCAGAAAGTATCTTTTTGCGTCGAAGAAAGATGTAGGGCTGAGTTCAAAATGTGTAGTAAACCACGGACCAGGCTTTAACAGCGATTTTCATATCAACCCAAGTAGTGTGAAGGGTTTTGAATCCGCATGCCCCTATAGTTAAGTTTTTGTTAAATTCAAGTTTGTTTGTGGAAAGTACATACTTCACATTTATATAGAAACTTTAGGTTTTTCAAGCGACATGAACTTCAATAGTTGTCTTTGCGACTATGCATATGAATTTAGTTACACACTCGTTTTGGGTTAAGTTAACAATGGTTTTGTTACGCACTGTAAACTCGGCCTTAAGTGAAGTATTTCGAATCTCTTTAATTAATTAGCTAAATTATTCGTAAACAAATATTTGTGCATTCTTTTATTAACCTTCGTTTTTATACAAAACCTTCACCACTGACTTCATTTGCGATTTTAAAATATATATGTCGCACGCGCATCTTATTATTTACTTTTAACATTTCATATGTTAACCTCAACATAATAAAACAAGAACTTTTCATTCCAACTGGCTCTCGACTTTCGTCGATCTGTATCTCTTCTCTTTGCATGGCGCTCATCTTCACTATAGCTAGTATTGTTGTTTGGCTGTTTGGTGTTGTGTTGTTTATTCTTGGTCTGGTTGGTTGCTGCTTGTATAGGTAGAGGTCTCTATATGCGGTATTTCATAGTTTTAATAGTGTTAAAGGTATTTGTTGTTGGTGTTTCTGGTGTCTGGTGTAGGATGTGGATGGGATTTTTTTCTGAATGATTTGTTGTTTTTACAGTAGATACCTGCTCTTTTTCGAATTTCTTTTATGCCTATGAAACCACCAGTCGAATGTATCACTCAAGTCCGATGTGCTGTTGCTTCCTTTCAAATTCTCCTGCTCGTGTCCTTCACTACCACCATCAGATAGCGGCGACTGATGGTGCGAGTGATGATGTTGTTGATGATGATGGTGGTGGTGGTGGTGGTGTTGGTGTTGGTGGAGCTGATGCTGCTGCTGGGGGTGGTGTAGATGCTGATGTTGTTGCAGCAGATGATGCTGCAGGTGTAGCGGTTCGTGGTGATGTTGGTTGTGGTGGTGATGATGCTGCTGCTGATGTTGATGCGGCGACTGTTGCTGTTGCGACGGCTGGTGATGCATGTGCAGCATATTAGCTCCACTACAGCTGATCGTCAAACCCAAACGATTGTTATTGTTTATGCTGCAAGTGTTGTTATTGTTGTTGGAAAAGCTGTTAATTTTACTAGCAGTAGCAGTTCGGCGCTCATCGGCGACCATAGTAGTGGGCGCAGATGTGGAGCAATAGGAGGCATTATTAGTGACAGCAGCAGCGGTTGCGGAGGCGCAATCGGCGGCAGAGGTGTAGGCGTAGGCGTAGGCATTGGCGGATGCGGATGCGGTGACGGACGCATGGCATGTAGGCACATTTAGGGAGGAAGAAGTAAAAGGATAACATTCATCAGCCTCAAGGGTGGTGGCTGTGGCGCTCGCACTAGCGCAGGCGCTAACACCGCTCGCGCTAACGCTAGCACTCACATTGGCACTGGCAGCACATTCATCACACGCGCACACAGGCGACGACGCACACAAATCGAATTCACGCTCAGACGCAGACGCTGCAGATGCCTCGCTAGAGGAGCAATTATTTAGGCTTCCGGTGTGGCATGCGGAACAAGTGGTAGTGGTAGTGGTCGTTTCACGACTATTCGATAAATTTGATGCTTTACCCGTCAATTCCGAGTGCGCATGCGTGTTGTCGTCGGGCGGCCCAGGACCTGATAGACACAAATATAGAGACACACACACATGGAAGAGGTTGTTGATGGTTGACAATCAAAAAAAGGGTATTCAATCAATCGGTCGATCGGTCAATAGGCGACGTTGGTCGAGCAGACATTCAGAGAGGGCGGGGGTGAAGTGGATATTTGGCGTTGGTTACGATTTAAATTTCGATTGCAATTTCAGTTTTCGTCGAGTGTTGAGCGGATGTGCATGTAGATAATATATTTGTTTCAAGTGTACAAGCATGGGCGTGGTTTGTGTGCGAGGTTGAAGGCATTGGAGGCACGTTTACGTTATAGGACAGTTGATTACAGTTGCCGGTTACAGATGGAGCGCGCAGCGGATTTTTATCGATTTCGTGTGGAGGTTGATTCAGTGTTGGTTTAGTTTGGGTATTTTCATTTATTTGAGGTATAATTTTAATTTGAAAAAAAAAACAAATTTAACGGTTTTAGTTTAAGTTATGAAAAAACAAATTTTAAATGTACTCCTCAATGTAGCAGGAATGCACCTAAAGTAGTTTAAATAATGATACAATAGCCTTACAGATAATAATATTAAGCCAATTTTGAAAATAAGTTTAAAAAATTAAAAAAAAAAACAGTATATCGTACCAATTTTATTAGTACCTATATATTTTTTGTCCGAAAATTGAACTCGCTGTATAAAATGCTGAAAACCCTATCATACGCCTTCAACATTTTCGTAAAAGACGCGGGAAATGGACTACAAATTATGCATTTATGTAAGTAATTAGTTACTAAAGATTTTTTATATATCAAAAAATACTTCTTATTAAATTTAATCGCGCATAAAACGATAAGATTTGAGTTTAAGATAGTAAGTTAAGATAAGAAAAAAATTAAAATTAAATTTAATAAATTGTAACAAAATAAATTACGTAGATATAATAAAATTATAAATAAATTAGAAATGAGTTGCAAAAAACACTTAAACGCTAGCAACAAAAGTGTCACAAACTCTAAAAATGTCACTGAACTTAAAATTGTATGTACAGTACGGCAAACCAGCAAGATATGTATCAAAAAAGCAGTTGAGAGAATTATTACAAAAATGAAAACTGCGTGCTTAAAACGAAATTAAAGCCAAAGTGAAATGCATGCAAATTATAAATAAATACACAAATAAGTTATGCAGCCAAGGTCCTTTAAACGTCGCTCTATTCGGTTGTCTATAAGGTAAAAAGCCATTAGTAGTTTTTAGTGAATAAATCTAATCTTGGTTAAAATTTATCAAACTAGTTTCTTATACAGTACAAGGGATGTTTCAAAAGTTATAATAAACACTTATTTACATTGCCAAATAAAGTTTTTAATATTATATGTATGTATTAAACTCGCTCAGTTACTATTACTGTAGTTCTCACTATTTCTCTGTTGTACTATTTATAAAACTAAATATCGCCCATTTACAAAAACACTTTCCTAACTCAAAAGAGATGATAGGTTAACGATGCGCTTGAAGTTGCATTTCGGTTGTACTCATTATGCGTTGAGACTTAGTCTAGACCCTAGTAAAAAACCTAAAAAAATATTCCAAACTTTATCTAATTTCATCTAAAATCCGTCCAGTCGTTTCTTAGTGAAGATGGCTTTCGCATTGTAGCGCTTAAAGGTCTAACTGAAAAATAAATAAATAAAAGAAAACCTTATCTATACATAGTCTCAGCAAACATTGAGGTTAGTTATCGATTAGAGAATGATTGGAGAACTAGTCACATTCTCCTATCTCAAACGTTAGAGAACGACTCGAAAAACTAGCGAGAATCAAAGCGATCTCAACAAAAATGGGGCATAGTTCTCGACTCGAGGAAATATTAATTCTCTAATCGAATTCTAATGTTGATCTCTAATGGGATTCGAATGTAAATTTCAAACTGCTCTTTTGCTTTAATAAATAACACGCTTTGTTTGCAAAATTTGTGTTGAATGCATTTGCAATGAAATAATATGGAATATGGAATATTGCTTATTTACATTTATTTGAATTTGCGTTGTTTCGTCATCGACTTGAGAACGGTTAGAGAGTTACCCTAGTTATCTAATGTAGAAATCCAAATTTCTCTAACGTTAGAGACTGTGTTTGCTGGAGTATAAAAGAAAGTCGTGATTCTTTGTACGCGCTAATCTCGAAAACTACTAAACGGATTTGGACGAGATTCTCTCTAACATATTCTGTATCGATAGGAGAGTGACCTTTGGTATTTAGGAATTAGGAATTTCTATAGGGTTGCTCCCTTTCTAAAAAATTATAAGATTCGCACCGTTTGTTACAAAAAATGAGGTGTCAAATGCAAAAGGGATTGACCTCTTGATAAGCATAAATGTTTAATTTTTTTAGTAGGGTTGCCACCTACTAAGAAAATTTTTATATTCAATTCTATGAAGCGAAGGTATCAGTTCTGCACATAGCCTCCAGATGTGCAAAAATGTCTTATTTTTGAGTAGGGTTGCCACCTTTTTTTAATAGGGTTGCCACCTTTTTATTATTATTTTTATTTTGTTCTAACATACGCCAATAACGCCAATCTCTAATGTGCTACCATTCTCCGGGGCTTGGGCTCAAGATGTTCAGTAATGAGTTATTTTCTGAGTAGGGTTGCCAATTTATTAAAATTACAAGATCTTCACCGTTCTTTGGACTAAACAATGAGGTACCAAGTGAAAGGATATGGTCTCCGTATGTGCAATAAGCTTTTATTTAAAAAAAAATCCCACCTTACGTGAGGGCTTTTTTTGTTAATGAAATCAGATTTCCACAGTTCTTTCAATTATAAAAAATGTGGTGTCCAATGAAAGAGCTTGTCGTTCAGATGTGAAAAAAAGGTTTTATATTTTCGAAGAGAGTTGCCGCCTATACGAAAAAATATAGGATGTATTAAAAAGTGAGTCGTCAAATGAAAAAACTTGACTTTCAGATGTGATAAGGCTTTATTTTTTTCAGAATAAAAATATAAGATGTCAAATGAGGGCTTAGCCATTAGGTGTGCAATAAGGCTTTACGTTTTTTAAAGAGAGTTGCCACCTGTTTCCTCCAAATGCATATATGTACATACATACTTATACACATATGAACAAATTTAGCGCGTGGCGAAGCCGGCTAGTATGTATATAATTTATTACTTTTTAAACAGGTGGCAACCTTCCTACTGGTGCCTTGGAAATCAAGCTTTTTGAAAACCTTTTCAATTCATATCCATTTTGTAATAATTCCGTTAACTTATTAATTAATTTTAACATAACTTTTTCAACAGGAGGCAACTCTCTTTACAAAAAAAATATATTTACACTCTTTCGTTTGAAACCAATATTTTAATATTTTATATAACTTGTGTACAATTTAATCAAATTCGACATCTCAAAGGGGTGCACCCCTCTTCAAATTTTTTCTAACTAAAAACTTCTTAAACCTTTTTCGGCTGACCCTCCGGTTCAAGTACTTAATACCCCTAATTCCAGCCGAACTTGACTCTTTAAACAGGTAGAATTGCCAAGTGTACGTGTAGTTTAGAGTAAAGCCTTTTCAAAACCATTTCGATTGATACGCATATTTTAATAATTCCTTTAACTTATGAAACAATTTTAATTTAGTTTTCAACAGGTGGCAACTCTTTTCAAAAAATAAAAAATAAAACATCTACAGGAATAATTTTTGAAAATCAATTTGGACAAACGTGGTATACGAACTTCTGATTTAAAAAAATGATCTAATTACAGTGGATCACAAGTTTTAGTTTGGTATTTGTTCTCCAAACGCCAAACTATCCAATTTCTATGCAGAATTGCTCGGTGATTCCGAAAATCGAGTTATTTTTTTTTATCTATGGATACGTTTTCGAGATATTTGCATTTTCGTGAGTATGTAGTTTAATACCCCATTAAATTTTAGTAGAATGAAGTCTAAGTTATAATTTGGTAAAAAATCGCGTTGATTGTTGGCAATTTTTTATTAACTTGTTTTCTCCCATACAAAGTAGGTTCGAAAATATTTTTTGTGGGTAAAAAGTGCGTAATACATTCAAAATAAATATTATCAAAAATTAAGCGATTTTTAGGAATTTTAAACTTGCACTTCATTCTACTAAACTTTAATGGGCTATAAAACCGCATACTAAAAAAAATTCTAAAAAATTTGAATAAAACGTTGAAAATATAGATGCAATTTCGCAGAATATTTATAATTTTTGCACCAAGTTTGAAGTATGAATTTATACGGTTTTTGTTAGATAATGAGCTATAATTTTATAAAAAAAAATAGTAAATATTAAACAAACAAAAGACAAATAGGAAACATTTGTTAAAATGTCGTGAACCTATATATTTTTCCACCACTGTATGTGCATTAGATCGTGCAACGTTATAAGCAAACAAAAACAAAGAAAAAAAAAATAAAATAAAATTCAAAAGCTTAATCGGTTTAGTCTAATGCAATATTATTTTTATACCCGAGCGCACTTGTGCACAACCACGACTACTGTCCATATAACGGACGGCCAGGACTACGACTGGTTCCAAATTGTTGAAAATTAGTATGTCAAGTAGAATTTTTGTAAAAAATATTATTATGAAATTTTTTAAAAGGCGTCACGCCTACTTCACGTCAATTAGCTAGTTCCGAAGACATAAACATCGACTGTAAATGCCGAAGATGTGTCGGAAAAATAGACTTAGCACCCCTACGGCGACCTCTTTTTCTTGTACGGTCGAATATGCATATTTGTGAGCATTGACAAACCGAATTTTCTCGAGTGGGGGCATTTTTGCTTATGTTCCTATAGAGATAACCAAATCATTCATGCAGAACACCGGATTCGATACTGAGCGCGCTACGTCAATTTATATTGAATTGCGGGGAAAGCAGAGGTCATTTTATTCAATTCGATGAGAGACAAGTAATAATTCGATTATAAATGCCGTCATTTGGGGCGTTTGGCGTCCAAGTTTTAAAGAATCGGCTTTGAAAAGCATTTTTA